ATTCACCAGACTGTCCTTTGCTTTGCTGTGTTCATCTCAGTAATTTGGATTGTTGATGTGCAGTCTAAAACATATCCAGTCAAAGAGCATTTTAGTGTGCTCAGTGTGTGTGTCATCTTCTGATTCTGCTCTGGGGTGAGACTCGTACTTCCATCCACTCCTTAACCGCGGGAGCTGGAGCCTGTCCCAGCAGGCACCGGGCACACGGCAGTCCTTCACAGGGCAGATACAGGCACACGCTCACAGCTGGGCCAGTTTTCCCAGAAGCAGATTAACCTGCCAGGATGTCTTTGAAACCGGAGCACCAGGTGGAAACCCACACAAACACGGTGTGAACATGCAAACTCCATGCAAATGTAGGGATGGCACGCCAGGCATTGTGAGGCAGTAAAGCTCAACAACACTCAATTTCAGAACAACACTGGGATACGCTGAGAAAAAAAAAGACATCACTTTTGGGGGGTTTAAAATGGACTTTTGTGGTTTTAAGCAAATAAAATAAGCATCCCAAGCTAAGAATCACAGGTTCATGTGCCCACTAAATTAATCCTGCAGCCTTAGTGCCCTCTCACTGACTAGAAACTGCTTCCTCAGCAGCAGATGTCTGTCTGTCTGTCTGTCAGCCCCCTGGTCCCCCCAGGGGTGGGTGGAGCAGTTCTGTGCCATGGGGGTGGGGACAGTGGCTGAACCCCCCCCACCCCACCCCCAACAGAACTCTCTTTCCTCTTGTAGACTCCTGCCTCTTGCTCTATGGGAAGCGGCTGGTACTCTCTGGGTGTTTCCTTTTTCCGAACGAGGGGCGTGGGCATTAGGGGAACAGGAAAGCTGGATCATCACTGTCCCAGGGAGCTTATTTTGCCTCAAGCTTGCTGTGCACAGAAGTGATCTATACAGTGCCACTGGGGGATTGTCAGAAGAAGCTAGCCTTAAGTTGAAATGAAAGAAAGAATATGCCTTTGGATTGTTTTTTTATTAGCTGGTTCAAGAAGAAAATCAATTAATGTATTTTGGTTATTTTTTAGTTTTGTGGTCTCACTGCATTTCCAGTTATCTATCATCTCTCATTTTGTGACCTAACACCTGGGTGGAGTTGGTTTAGAATTTAGTACAGCACTTTGCAAGCTTGAGACCTCAGTGTTTTTTTTTTTCATTTTTCTCTGGATGACAGAAGAATTGCTGTGCTTTTTTTTAACCAAGGGCCAGTGTTTTACAGAGTTGGCAAAGGAGACCACATCCTGTCTTGTGGAGAATGAAAGTTAAAAGCCTGCTGTAAATCCAGTCTCAGCTTTTTGATGCTTGACTCCTGTTGGCAATTTCAGTGGAAAGCAGCGTGTCGTTCCAGAATGTGGGTTAACAGGTCTGGTTCTCCACAGAAGCCCTAAGCAGGTGGTTCTGTACCACAGGTTTTGTCTCCACACAGCCGTCAGGGCCACCTGTCGCAGTTGCAGCCGCCTGCTGTAGATTCAGAACCCGGGAGCAGGATTTCCTTGCTCATGAGGGCCTGCGCCTTTCCTTGTGAGTGCTGTACAGCACAGGGGAAGTGCTTTGGATCTGTATGGAGGATCAGAAGACGGAAAAATACGGCTTTTCATTTTATGAACCCCTGCTGTCTACAAATGGATGGACAAACTTTGTGCTAAAACCATGACAGCATTCCAGGAATAAAAAATTGCTCGATCTGGTAGCAAGAAAGTATTTTTCTTGAGAAGTGGATTTCTGTGCTGGAATAAGGAGTATGTGTTCATAAGGAGAGATGAAATTATGACTGGTTTTGCATAGGAAATAATTCTTAGCTTCAGAGATATTACCAGATCTTGTAGTATTGTATATTCAGTGACGCCAGTATCCTCAAACTTAAAAGTATTCATGGAAGAGCTGATTTAACTGTCATAGAAAGAATGGATGATTATCTCATATCTACGTGAACCACAAGCAGCTATTAAAGCACACCAAAACTATGCACAAGTTGTACTTCAATTGGTTTGAACCCAGGAGAGGTTTGTGAGCTTTGAGGGGTTAGTGAACTTCTGGTGTAGATTAGTGTGCTGATGGCTTTACGGAGGTCACAGTCTGTCTCGGTTTATGGCTTCGTGTTGCAGGCAGAAGAACAGAGAACGCAGGCTGACAGTCTATTCGCTGCAGTGCTGTGGAAGAAGTTAGCTGACATATATCTAACTCTAAATACTCTCTTTTAAAGCTCTAAAGGTTTGAGTTACTGTAATTAAAAACGTGCTTCTTTGCTTGTTTGAGTATAAACCTATTTCTTTTGGTTTGTAGAGTAGCAATTGAATCAATTATCTCTCAGTTTTTTTTCAGAGGGGTGTATACAGAGGATTTTAGCCAGATTAATTTTTCTTTGGTCATTCACTTAGATCTTCTACCAAGCCACTGCTAACAGATCACCACATGTTGCCCTTTAAGAGCAGAGAGAAACACTGTAGTCCTCACTGGGGTTCAGAACTTTGGCCTTTAAAAGATCCCTAGAGGAGAATGTAGGGTGTGCCATCTTCAGAAAACAATTATACTGTGTTTTTATTTGAAAGAATAATTATTCTCTTTTCCTGCTCTGGGAGGCTGTGGACCGTAGAGCTTATCACTTGGTTTCCATTCGGGTTCATCTAAAGAGCAAAGAACTCTTTCAGGTTGGGATCTCTGCAGAATAGTGTCCCTGACAAAAAACAGAAGTAAAGAATATTGTGAAGTTACTGAAAAATAGTCAATGCTGTGTTCAAAGGGTAAAGACTTCATAGCTGAAGAGGAACGTTCCTGTGTGTCAGCATTTACTGCAGTCGGCTGCATTAGCCTTGTTCACAGGCGGTGGGCCAGTGACTGTCTTGAGCAGTGATCTGGGAGCAGGCTGGAAACGAGACTTTCAGCTTACAGATCCAGCGTTTCAAGCCCCTACTTCCCAAACCCATTGGAAAGTAGCCTGTGATCTTCGGTCTCGCTCTGCGAGCCAGACAGCTCTGACCTGGGACCAGCGAGGGCTCTCTGCTTGTCTTATTTCTCTTTTAAGGTTTTGTTTTAGTTTCTCTGTTATTCTTGTGAAAATCCACAAGATCTTTTTTAAAGGCTTTATGCCTTTTGTTTTGGAAGTGTGTGATGTGACTTCGAAGGGAATGTTTAAGAGACAATCAGAAGACTTGCACTGAACTCAGGAGAGCCTCTGGGAGTATGACTGGCCCAGACTGGGAGTGAAGTGGAATGCAGAGACTTGCCTGAAGTGTTGCAGAGCACAAGAGAGCAGAAACTGCCAGGCTCCATCCTGTTGCAAGGCATTGAGGGCGTTCCTGACTGTGGCCAGGTGCCATGCCTGGCAAGCAGACCAGCGCTGCTGGCGAAGCCCCTCCAAAGCCAGATCCAGAGACCCCTGCTCAGATATCCTCCTTTAGCCAGCTGGGTGATGCCGTGGGTATGTGTTGGCGCCAGCCTGAGATACTGTACACTTGTACAACCTGTACATTACAGACACACCCTGTCTGAAGACTACACCCTGTCTCTGTTCTGCGTTCTCAACATTTGCCTGTTCTTTCCCTATAGTCTGTCAGTTTGTGACAGCATTTACAATGCAGATCAGGGGGTTTTAGTTACTTTGCTGTTTTTTTTTCCACTTTTTATTCATATAAAGTGACGTTCTTCTTCTCTCCAACCAGACAATCTTTTCAACCTTTTCTTACCAAAATTTCCATTTAAAATGTGAAATTATTAGAGTCATATAAAACGTCCTGCACCAGCTTTCGGCAAACAAGGATCTGGTTGTAGAGGTTCAGCAGGTGAATTTCTGCACCTGATTGTAGACTGTCACCAGAGTTTGTCGGTTTCATTCTGGTATGATCGCTGAGAGCTGCCTGGCTCCTCTTCCTGGTGCAGAGGGCTTGTTTATGTTGCCTTCCTCTCTTCCTCACTGGTACTGTGGCTGTAGAGGTGAGCTACGACGAGGACCGTTTGGTGTCTCTCTGTAGTTCTCAGCTGTAGAGGGGAGGAAGACAGTTTAGGTCTACAGTCAGCAGTACCTGCAATGCAAGTGATGTAGCTGTTGCTCAGTGGCAGGATTTCTCCTAGAATGACAGTGTGGCAGTACACCTCCTTACTCCCCTGACAGCTGTTCATCTTGTGTTTAGAGCTAACTGAGACATAACTGCATGATGCGATTAATACAGTATAATCCACATTTCTCATAATTCAGTTATAGCACCTTCTGTTGCTGGTTTAAGGATTGGAGACTATTACGCTCCAGAGTAAGGGTGTTATTTTTTTACCAGAGCACAGTTCTTTGTGTTGTAGCATTGTTTCAAGGAGAGAGAAAAAACAGTAGGGAGGTGCTGTGGATAAAAAGTACAAGAGAAAGATTTTATCCTACTTGTTTCTGCTTTGATCTTCATTCCACTAAAGACGAGCAGCTGTTTGTAGCTCTAGATTCGGCAGTAGATTTGGCACCATCTGTGTGAAATTGGAGCTCTCTTGCGTGCTTGAAGAGACCAACATTGCAAGCACATTTGGGTCAGTCTGACTTTGTTCCTGAAATGACTATTTCTTTTCAGCGAAGGCCCCCAAATCTGCCCACCTTTGGATTGAAGGGAGGAAGTCAAGGCGCTGGGTTTGTAGGCATCAGTGTTCCTCACTGATTTCTTACATCAGTATGCATCTGTTGGAATTCTAAACATACCAAAAGTTGTTTTTGGATTATATTTTTCTGTGTTCCCAACTTCATATTTTTACATACAATTCTGAATTTTCTTCAGACATTTATTTGGTTCCCAGCAGAATATGAAAATAGAGACTATCCCTCCATCTCTTGTGCTCAGGAGTTTTTCACCCAAAGCTGTTCTAAACCCGTTCCCAGCACTCTACGTAACACATGCATAGAGATGTAGCTTTGCATGTGATTGCGGCCTGAACCCTTGTCCTTCTCCAGCCTCTGCAGCAGAAATCACCAGCCCCAGTGATGACGTTGTACCTGGTGTTACGCTGGGCGTTTAGCGTGGGCTTGTGCTCTGTGCTCCCGGTTGAAGATGAGGTCACCAGTAGATTGTCTCCTCTCTGCCCTCTCTAGATGGAGGTGGCTATGACATTGTTAACAGCACAGCAGTCTCCACCCCGGGGATGCAGGACTACAGAGCTCAGTGTGGCTCCCTGCGCCAGAGCTGGGAGATGAACTACCAGGAGGCGGCGATATACCTGCAGGTGAGGAGCGGTTATTGGCCTCTGGAGATGCTACACTTTGTAAAGTGTTGTAATTGATTGCTTATAGGTGATTCTGCTCCTGCTTAGACCTTACTTTGGAATTACAGTTAATCATTCCAGGATAAAGAAAACCTGGAATGGCAATGTTGAGTGCAGGGAATGGATTTTTTGTACAGGTTCCAGAAGCTGTATCTGTGGGCTTCAGAGCACTGTGCAGTGCTGTGATGTTTTCCCGTCTTATTTTAATTTAGAAAAAGAGAAATATAAGCATCAACGCCAGCTGACAAATCTACAGCATGAAAATAATTAATTTAACAAATTTGGGGTTAGTCACATTTATGCATTTTTATTTCTTATTTGAAGAAGGAAACCCTTTTGTAACCTTGTCTGAAACAGACTGCCTGTGAGTTGAGGGTTGGTATGTCTGCCAATTTGTCTTTGGTTAACAAGAAACTGAAGTTCTGTTACCTCCTAGGGAAGAGCTTGCAGTTACTGCCACTCCTCCAGGTGGCACTGTCTCCCCTGTCAGACACTGCAGCATGTTCAGTGTATCAGGTGCTGAATGGTTGATGGGTGAATTTGAGGAGTGTGTCCAAACTTTATTTGTTATTCTTTCCTAGAGGATGCAGGAGCTGAGACACATACAGGTGCCCTGAACAAAATGGACAGGGATCAAAATGGCAGCGCCATTCATTTTTCTCTCATTTCTTCCTTAAATTAAAGTTATTTTGGGCGAACCCGTCCCAAGAAGCTGTTGAATTTGTTGAACGTGGAGGTCCAGCTGGGAGTGTAGCAGCTCTCTCAGGGTGCTGTTCCTTGTGTGTGTGTTGCCTCACAGGAAGGGGAGAACAATGACAAATTCTTCACTCACCCCCGCAACACCAGGGCGCTGGCCGCCTATCTCTTTGCTCACAACCACCTGTTCTACATGATGGAGCTGGTGACTGGGCTCCTGCTCATGGTGCTGTCGCTGTGCGAGGCTCCAGCTGTGCCCAGCCTGCGCCTGGACGTCTACGTGAGTACAGCATGTTCTCCGCCTCCCACAACTCACCCAGCTGCTCTGTGGGACGGATTATTCTGGAGCTCCTGTCTGGCTTGATGAGTAAAAGTCCCCTGTCAGCTCTCCCTCGGTCATTGATCCGCTGTGGCCAGGGTTACCCAAGCAGCTGTGCATAACCAGCTTCAGGTGAGTTTGTAGTCATCCAAGGTAACAGCCAGGAATTCAAGCAGCCAGCTGTCCAGGCTGTGAGTCCTAAAAGAATCAAGACTGGGACGTCTCAGATTTAGAGACGTCTGATTGGAAAATGTTAGACAAGCTCTTAAATGTCAAAGATTACAGGGGACCACTTTGCAATGAAGTAGAATTCCAAACTCACATATGGTATATTTCAGAGGAGTCTGTGATCTAAAGCTTCCTCTTCAGAAACTGAGTTTGTAATTTGGAGTTTTTTTTGTTCTAGAGCAGAGAGCATCTTTCTGCAGCTTTGTTGAACGTTCCTGTCAGCAGTAGTCTTCTCATTCTAAATCCACTGTTACCCTTTAACAAGTTGAAATGGGAGTTTCCATGAACGTCTATGTTTTGTCAAGCTTTTCCTCTTCACTCACCCTGGCTCCTCTCCCTGCTCCCGGCTGTGGGGGCTGCAGGTTCACGCTACCCTGGAGCTGCTGGCTTTGCTGATGGTGGCCTTTGAGCTGTGCATGAAGCTCAGGTGGCTGGGCTTCCAGACCTTCATCCGCCACAAGAGGACCATGGTCAAGGTCAGAGCAGCCCGAGAGGCTCATGCTTACAGTGCATCTGGGTGGGGTCACCTGGTATAGAGCGTCGGCTTCTTCAATGATTTCTACCAAGCATGGATGGGTACACGCCACACGAAATGAAATCTTTTCTCTTGGTGTGTTTTAATGGTTCTGAAATGTTGTTGGGTCACTGGCAGGCTGAAGGAACTAGTTGCAGAGGTGACGCAAGTCCAGCACTGGCTTCTCTGTGGTTGACTGGTCTCGCCCTCTGTCTGTCCTCTCAGACCACCGTACTGCTGCTGCAGTTTGTGGAGGCGATAGTGGTCCTGGTCCGACAGACCTCCCACATGCGGGTGACGCGCGCACTCCGACCCATCTTCCTGGTGGACTGCCGGTACTGCGGCGCTGTCCGGAGGTAGGGGGAGGGAGATGGGCCGCCGTAGCCCCGAGTCTCTTGTAGATCAAACCATTTGAATTGCTCTGCGTTCTGACTGGTGTCTCTCTCTCTCCTCTCCTTACAGGAATCTGAGGCAGATCTTCCAGTCTTTGCCTCCTTTCATTGATATTCTGCTTCTGCTTCTCTTTTTCATGGTTATTTTCTCTATTTTAGGTAAGTATTTTCCCTTTAACCCTCCTCTGAGTACACTTTATTACTGTATAGTGTGTTATATTTTAAATTATTTCTGTATGTTGTTTTATTTCTTCTAGGATTTTATTTGTTTTCCCAGAATACGTCAGACCCAGTAAGTTTCTGTTTCTGAGGTTCTGTATCTTCATTTTCTTCTGTGGCAGATCAGTCCTAATCAAGTATATCACTCAGATACAGAATTTGTTTCTGGTTTTGCTTCATAAGAAAGATTACTTAGATTATTTATCTAAATCAAAACATTGGAGCATAATGTTTGGAGTTTAGGGGTGTTCTGTACTTTAGCTGAGCCTTGCAGTTAAAGTTGATTGCATTCATACTGTGGTTTAAATCACCACTGCTGATAAATCTGTATATAATGTCTTAGCTGTACCAATCATATGTTGTATATTTAAATAGAAACTCAGTCTTTATCATCTCCATCTTGTAAGCAGCTTTGGAACCTTCTTCTTTCAGCTGCAGTGTCTTTCTAACTATGCAAATGTACCTGTTTTTCAGTATTTTAACACTTTGGAAAACAGCATCGTCAGCTTGTTTGTGCTTTTAACAACAGCCAAGTAAGACCTGTCTACCTTTTTATGTTTTTACTGTTTTCTTTTAATCAAGGGTTTTAAACATCAGCCCATCTCTTCTAGTTTTCAGATCCAAGCAGTTTTCCCAATTTCCACTATGATGTGTTTTATAAAAATATTTTTTGTCTGTAAGCAATAAGGTCCAGTGAAAGCATATTACACCTCCAGATTCAGTAAAAAGGAGGTGAAAAGTTTAAGACCTGAGAAGGACTAAACCGATCCAGTAAGCTCTTAAGCTGTTAATGATTTAAAGGCTGGATTGAAATACATTTCTTCGTACAGAAAGACTTGGCATTCCCAAATTGAAAGGGTCTAAAACCCAGAACGATCTAAAACCTTTTGAAATGGATCATGGACCTGGCCAGCAGAGCACAGATGTGCGTGTAGTTCGGATTTTCTTCTCCACCTTTCCTAAAGAACAGCCCTGCTGTCGTCTGTACAGCTTTCCAGATGTGATGATGCCGGCGTATTCCAGGAACCGCTGGTCCTGCATCTTCTTTATCGTCTATCTCTCCATCGAGCTCTACTTCATCATGAACCTGGTGAGTACAGGGCGGGCGCAGGGGCAGGAGTGGGTGTGGGGAAAGCGGGGGCAGGGGCAGGGGCAGGAGTAGGGGGGGCAGGAGCAGGGGCAGGAG